AGCCTCTTCGACTCGTAACTCTTGAGATAGCAACATATAATTGTCCATGTGAAAACACTGGTTTCTGAAGATAAATACCCACATGTTGAAGAGATTGGCCTTGACTTTTATTTATCGTCATTGCAAACGAAAGAGTGATAGGAAATTGTCGACGCTTGAATTTAAAAGGAATCCTGTTATCGGATGGCGTTAGAGTCAATCGTGGAATAAACACCTTATGACCAATGTTGGTTCCTGATATAATTTTCGCTTCCAAGACTCGATTTCCTAATCTTGTGATAGACAGTCGGGTGCCATTGCACAAACCTGAAGATTGGTCTATATTTCTCAACAACATGACCGGAACACCTTATTTCAGTTTTAATTCGTGATTTGGAAGACCAGAAGAATTAACGGTATTCAAAAACTCGGGCGTATGAATATCATCAGGTCTGTCAATGCTTTCGTTTGCTGAACATGTACTATCAAAACTGAGATATGTCTTCATTTCCTTAGGAACCAACGATAGCATGTAATTGTTTACCACGTCAACAATCTCATTTGTCGGAGCCAGTATGGCCATGTGTTGCAAATAACTGATATCATCCATATTCTCTAAAAATGATGGGTATGTCTCATTTACAATTGAAGCAAGTGGATCAGCTGACTCTTTTATGAGTAAGTCATCAGGGATTTCAATGCTGACCACCCCGTCATTGGGATCACCTATGGTGCCATCTCCAATACTTAACACCCAGCCTGAAAAAAAATTTACTTAAGAAATCTCTGAATGTGATTTGCCGGATAGGAGTCTCATATTTTTTGTCAGTGTCAGAACTTGACAATATTCCCATAGGCGTGATGAATTAATGCTGGCAAACACTACTTCTTGTCTCGTTCCTTTTGGGATCACAGGTAGAATCAGTCTAAAATCGCCACCAAAAACAACTATTTTTCCACCGAAAGGTTCTCGTTTGCTGTTTGGATTGGAGAATTTGAGTATATCTTTGAAAGTCTTGTCCACAGCCTCAAAACAGTGTTTATGGGTCATAGGAGCTTCATCCCAAATGATAAGTTTTGCTTTGGCTATCAGACTAACCAATGGGCTATCTTGGACAATATTGCACGTAGAATCTTCATTAACATCTAAAGGGATCACAAATCTTGAATGTGCTGTTCTGCCACCAGGAATGAGTAGAGCTGCTATCCCCCTCGAAGCAACTGTAAGGACTATTTCACCCTTTGATCTCAGAGCTGCTGAAAGTGTTTTCCAAATATATGTTTTGCCAGTACCTCCATATCCATAAATAAAAAACAACCCTCCTTGTTTTCTTGCAATGCGAAGCATTATCTTATCGTAGATATTTCTCTGTTCATCAGTAAGATTGGCCATAAGTTGACGATGTTCTGCAGCTAATGCCTGTCGGTCATATCTAAGTTCATCATGGATAAGTCTGTTCTGAACTTGTGAAAGCAATGACATATCTGGTCTTGGCATTGTCGGAAAATCAGCAAGACTCTTATTGTTACTCCGTAAAATATTCTCTACTTCTGCAAGAGCAATGTTTTTCAAATCGTCTTCATCAAGCTGCAAGTCTGTGATATTACAAAAAACATAACAAATATTAGATGAGCAACAAATATGGTATTGAATATCTTAGGTAATTAATATGATAAATTTCATATCAAATAAGTAAAATTAAATATGATCCAACGTGAAATAGAATCTACTATGCTGACAATAGCTATTTTATACATGAATAGAGAATATTTTATAACATGCACTACACTTTCTACGCATTATTAATATTTTATAACATGAAATAGAATAACAAATTAGTACAATTGAATTGAGAAGATTGAACATTGAGACAATACGCTGACCAGAGATATTTCCAACGACCTCGCATGGCTGCCATTTCTTTTGTCTTTTCAGGATTTTTTAAATTACACGAAAATTGAATTAAATAAAAAAAATTAAAGGAAAACAAAATAGATAAGAAGAAAAGGGGAAACCCCAAAAACACGAACAAAAAAAAATTCCATCGAAAATCAAACCCCCACTATTCTCCCATCGCATAAGATTCACTTTGCTTAAATTTGAAAATATATTAAAATTAAACATTATTAACTGATAATACCTTTGTATCGAAGGAGTGTTCTTTGCTTATGTAGGATATCATCACTCAAATATTGTCACGTGCTGTTCCAAACATATTCTGGCCGTGAAAGCTGATTTGAGAACAATAATACTGCAAATAGGTTTCTCAAATAATTAGCTGTACCCCAGTCACTTGCCTCGCGAATCCCATCGATGTATTCTTTGTCATCATCCAACAAACCCATTGCATAGCAAGCATCTCTAAATGTAGGATAAATAACATCATCTATGGTTCTCAAATCAGAATAAGAAATAGCCCCCTTTGATGTATTCAACAAAATTCTCAAATAATATATTTCTCCACTTCCAGGGGGTACGTAATGAATTCTCCCAATTGAAATCCCCTACTTTCTCGGAAACCACTCATGTAAAGGTTGTTTCCATACAAATTTTGTAGAAAACTATGCACAAGTCAAGTTCTTTGCCTCGGGATATTTCTTATTTGCTTCCATCCATGCCAAGAACTTCGATTTCTGAATGTTAGGTCTATCCAGAACTGATTCAATGGGATCATCATCATTGAAAATTACAATTTGCTCGTCAGGCAAATGAAGAGGTAAACGTTCAACGGCCGGCTCTCTATAATGAATGTCAAAAGAAAATAGTCTCCATGCCGCCTCACATGGTGATAAGTATCTGCAATCGTAATACATTTTAATCTCGTCTTGACATTGCGATACATTGTTGTCCGTTGAACTTTGATAAAATCCCGCAGTGACCCGATCATGACCTTTATTCACATATTTGAACAAATATTTAATAGACCTTGACTGGTTGCACCACTCAACATTTATATGTGCATTGAATCTCTTGAGCAGGTATGGATTGTAGGGAACTACAAATCTATTATCAACAACAACACCACCTTTGTTAATGGTTGCCCCATTGTCTCTCCTTTTATAAAGCGGATACCCATCTTCATCGTGTGATGTTCGATCACAAAACTTACTTACCATCCTGCATACATGGCGATTTTGGATTCAGTACTCCACATGGACCGTGTATCATAATAGATTTTACACAATTGTAAAGATAAGGATCATCATCTACAGATGGAATTTCAACAGAAATAATTTTGTCAATATCTTTTGGGTTCAGATATTTGTAATCCGGATGCAAAAAAATAAGTATATGAGCATGCGGTAACCCTCGCTTCTGAAACTCAATCGTATATATCACTGCAATAAAAAAAACAAATTTATTAATCTCTATGAATATATTATTATGAGACGGCTAAATATTAGAAATATGGGGTGCATCAAAGGTTAAAATATTAAATTATAGCAAAATTAATATATTTCTTACTTTTTTCACTTAAAAAAATATAGGCCAATTTGACATGATTCGTTTTCTTGGGTCAATAACACACTGCTTGAAGACCTTTTTTTTAATTTGTTAGTTGATTTATCATTAAATCATCTACCACGCTAAATGCATGATTAAAAAAAATCACATGTATATGCTTATTTAAGATATTATTTTAATCATTTCTATGAAGCAATTTGTATTTTTAAATAAGATACACATGAATAATCCTTATTAGTAGTTACACTTGTAATTTTAAAACTTAGTAGTTAAATTTTTTGAAGCAGACTTAAAAAAAAACACAATTGAAGCATGCGTCTATGCACATATCTAAGTTATGGAATTTATAGCAGTTATAATTAATTGCTGAATATATATATATATATATATATATATATATATATATATATATATATATATATATATATATATATATATATATATATATATAGACACACACACGTGTGTTTGTATCAATATATGTATGTGTGCAGTTTATCAAGTGTTAAACGTAACTGAATTTCTGTGCATACCTGATTTCACCTTGCCGAATATGTTTCCCTGTTTTATCTCCTTTATAAGTTGATCTAGTTTTATCTTGAATACCCGACAAATAATGTATGGCCTATCCTCAGGTCTCAAACCCATTTTGCTTAAATGTCTTGTTATTTCTGTCCAATTCTGATTGCAAGTGAAAGTGATAAACAAATCAGGATATCCAATCCATCTAAAAATAACCATCGCATCTTGATAATTTTGAATCATATAGCGTGCTCCTCCTGTAAAGAAGTAGGCAATATGATTCGTTTTCCTGTTGCGGACGGATCAGATTCTCCCCTTAAGATTGCTTCTGATAACCCTTTGTATATTTCAGCTCTTAATTCTTTCTGATGATTCCGAATATACGCCAAACGGTATGACTCGATCATGCTATAACCATCAACCAAAAACTGCTGAAATAAACGTCTAGAGTACAACGACATAGACTGTTCGTGGTCTCTTTCTTGGATTCTGTAAGCAAAGAATTCTCTCATTGACACCTTTTGCCTTTTGTTAGATAACGTTTTGTTGTTATCTTTTAATGCAACATCGTCTCTGTATCCATCTTCTCGTCGTGGAAATAATAAAGGATACTGTAACGGCAGATATGCAGGATTCAATACAGATACACGTTGCAATAATCCTGACTGTGTCTCCACAATTATGTCTCTCTCACCATCAGTACAATCAAAATCACCTACAATAAGTGCAGCAACTTCAGATGCAGATGGTAGATTATACCTTCTTCCATCCTGACCTCTCTTACCTATAAGTCTCAATTTCATATTTGGGAAGTCATTAGATTGAAGCCTGTCTTTGATCATTCTATAGGATTTTGCATACGGATTGCAGTCATCAAGCATATCTTTGATATCAGAAATAATAGTTGCATGTAATATGTTGATCCCATTTTCCATACTGTGACATTTAATAAAATATATATTAATTAGGCAATCAATAAAAAAAAAAAGATTTGAGAAAACATTCTTGCCATTATATGCAAAATAATAGTGTTTTACCTGACAACACGCATTCTATTAGATACTTCATTCTGGGTGTCATATATGTACAACTGTGCAAATTTTGGAGTCGATCCCGGATTTGGCATTAAACTTCCAATTCTATGATAATTCTCACCATACATGATAAACTGTGGCGGAGCATTTCCATCATTCATTGTCCTATCAATTCTTCCACCCATAGAAGTAAATGAAAACATCATATTAAATGATCGAATATGCTCGAGAATTTTTTTACTTCGATCATCATTATTGAAGAAAAGATCTTTAAGAGTCTGGGGAGGATCTGTAAGAATTGGAAGTTCTATCTTTCCTTGAAGGCAACACAATGAGAATTTTGGATTTGATGTATTCTTCTGTTTATGCAATCTTTCAGCATACCACATCAATGCACCACAATGCTCACATTGCCAAATTGGATCACCAATGTCCCAATATTCTGCATTATTAAAAAAAATTATGATTTACTGATACAACAATAATAGATTAACCATAGAACTTAACAATTGTATGTTAGACAATAACATACCTTCATTGGATAAAATTGCATGCTCCGCACCAGTTTCCACTTGTTCTATCTCATCGTCATCGACAATGGGTTGGAACATGCCAGATGACGAAATATTAGCATTATGTTCATCAGGTTCCTCAACTTCAAATCAAAATTTATGTAAATGAGATAAGATGATTTTTTTGTAAATAAAAGTAAATTACATAGTTATGTAATGATGTAAATAAACATAATTGTTACGCACCGAAGAAAGACAAAATATCTTGTTGACGATTTGTTGTACATTGACCAAGCATGCTATCATTGTCTGCTGATAAAATATCAGGTTGACGGTTTGTTGTATATTGACCACGCGTGCTCTCATTATTCGTTGATGAATATATAATCTTGTTGTTGTTTCTGACATATCGTCCAGCACCTAGTCGACAGGTTTCATTATTGGTAATTGATAAGGCAGATGATGATGTACCTTCGCTGAGATTTTGATTTTCATTAGTTTTTGTCGATTCAAATAATCTCTTCTTTGGCAACCGTTGATCCATAAACCTGAAAATCATGAATTGTGAGAGTTGCAATATACCTTATATAGGGCATCAGACATGAATCAACTACTTCGTCAAAACTATTTTTTTTCTCCTTTAAAAGTTTTGTTTGCTCATTCACGTAGAGTGCATCGATCGTGTAGTGCACATGTACGTTTTTTTGTTTATTGTCAACAATTAACGATGAATAATATAGAATTTTACCTTTTTGTTTTGTAGGCCGAAGATGATGAACAAATATAAAGTAGAGATATCCTGATCGTTGTCGTAACTCGAAACGGTGGCGTTATGAATGCTTCAGGGCTTTTTTTCTGGAAGAGAGATTTTGTTAATAAAGTTTAATTAGCGTAAAGTGGTAGGAGTATATATAGATATTAGTAGTAGTAATTTGAGTTATTTTAGGAGTCTCTTTTCTTGTCTTTTTACGTGTCAAACAAACAAACAAATTGACTTGATTATAAATATCTATCTATTTTATATATATATATATATATATATATATATATATATATATATATATATATATATATATTAGTAGTAGTAGTAATTTCAGTTATATTAGGAGTCTCTTTTTTTTTTCTTTTTTCGTTTTTTTTATTAGTAGAGTTTTACGCTTCAAATTAATTAAACAAATTGACTATTATGAGGAGAATAGCAATCTTCCCCTTATGCTCATACTTAATAAATTTAAAGAATTTACTCCTGCGAGTTTCAGGATTAAACAATACATATAGTTTTATTTATATTTTTTTTCATTTGCAGTAAGAAATCCTACGGTTTTATTTGCCGGGGTTATGGTTAGTGATCATCTTCTCTTAATCTAGTTAATGTCTATTAAAGCACTTCTTTTGTAATTTAAGATTCAATGGTCAAACACTTTAACCCAATGGTCCAACACTTTTAACAACTATTGAACGCAAATACAAACAATAATTTTAGATTCAATGGTCGAACACTTTAACCCAATGGTCGAATACTTTTAACAACTATTGAACGCAAATACAAACAATAGAATAGATAGTCGAATCTTATTAGCAAAAAATACCTCACAGAAAATCACTCAAATGTTATATAAGAATAAATAGATAGTCTTTGCAAAATACACAAACGTCATGGGAAATATTCTTAGGAGCCCAAATAAAGTAACAATGTCTTGAAAGTAAAGGAAAACAGTGTCTCAAATAAAAGAAAAACTACGAAAAATTGAATCCTTTTCAGTTTTGATCTTCTTCAATATTTTATTGCTCGATCCCCGTGTAGCACCATCATCAAGTGTAGCACCATCATCAGACAAATCACATATATCAACATCAACACATTCTCTTTTCTTGGGTGATTTGCTCGTTGGAGTGACTTGATCATCAAGTGCAGTAGTCAAATCCTGCAAAATAAATACAAAATTATTTTAGTTCTTTACATTAGGATTTACAAAAAGTCTAAAATAAAATAAGCATAATATAACATGAAAAAAAGCAAAAACTATTCACAGTTCTCCAAATACGGTTGCAAAAGAATATAGTATACAAAATTTGAAAAAAGTATAATTTTTGCATTGTTCCGGTGTATTAACAACGTATAGCAGGATTTAACTTCATAAATAGTATTCCACTAAGCATGCAAGATTGGAAGTGTTGTACGTGAGTGAAAATTTTTAAATATCAATATTTCTTCTTCTCTCTTTCTAAGTTATAATATAAATATTTAAGAATAATAGTACCTTTAGATTGTCATCAACTTGCTGAGAAACATTGCCTGGTGATACCGCCATCTCATCTTCTTCATCAAATAGTTGCAAAAAAAAAAGAAAAAAAAAAGAGAGGATATTATGTGATAGCTGCTATACACAAAAAAGAAAAAAAGGGAAAAAAGGATATTATGTGATAGCTGCTACGCACAAAAAATAAATCTATTATATTAATTATTTTTATTACCTTAATAGAGTATCGATTCCTAAATTGTTGTATAACACCCTCATCATTTGTCGCGGTTTTAACTGTATAATGTGGCCATTTAGTTTCAACATTTCGATCACTGATAGATACTTGGAATAAAATTTCTACATTGATCAAACCATCTATGTCAGAAGGATAATCACTATTCTGATTGTCCTGCATGATAAAAGAAAAATCCCAGTTTCATCCGAATACTCGTGACATAAGAGTGATACGATGGCTCTAGATTACAATACCTTGTTTGATGTATCAAGGAGATCTAAACCACTTTTTCCTATTAATTGTGTGGCAATACGGTCAAATATAACAAACGAAGCCGACCCAGTATCGTCAATGACACTCATCTGTATTCTAAACCTATACAAAAATACAAAAGATAATCCAAACAACAAATAATTGTGAATATACGATGCAAAAAATAATCCAAAAGATTGGTGCACCAATGGGGTGATAACATAACCTGGTTTATTTACCTTGGTACAGCAGGAAGAGTTTTTTTGCACCTTCCGCAAAAATACCTCTTTAATGATAATGAAGGCTCAATCTTCCTACTACACTTGCTACATGCGTGATACCACCAGTTATCTCCCTCGATATCCATAACTTTTGCCAACACAGATACAACACATTCCTGCAATATAAATCAATGAATTATTAAACATGCATCGTTTGTAAAGAAAATTATATAATATGCATAAACATACTTGATTAGCCTCAATGCACTCATCAATAGTCATCCTATCTGTCTGAAGTGGATCACTGGTTTGAGAAAAAGAACTTTGAGACAATAACTGACTAATCGATGGGACGTAGGATTCTTCACTTGCATCCAATCTGCCGGGTTACAGGTTGAACAAATAAAGGTTTATAATCATAGTGGAGTTTATTAAAAAGTAATTGGAGCAATTAAATATATTTACTTGTCCTTGTAGTCTAACACTTCCTTCAAATCCGGATTGATCAATATGTTTGACACATTAAGAGAATTCGATAAACCCGTTTTTCCTAATTTTTATGTGAGTATGAAATAATCAATAATATAATCTTACAAAAAAAAATAAAAAAAAAATTAGGGCCGGTCTAGGGTTCAGGGTTAAAAAATACCTAAATAAGTCTTGGTCCTAAAAAATTGAAGGATGACCACAATAGGTCCATTGTGATCATCTTTGAGAAGATATGCATCCATTCTTTCGGCAAAAGCTTCCCACAAAGTGCATCTAACGGTATTTTTCCTGAAAATTGGTAAATTGTTATGAATAACATTAAGAGATCATCACACAACGATCTATATTTTAAAATTGTAATATTTTAAATACTATAAATCTTGGACAACAATCTCCAAAAGCTTGCTTTCTTGTCCTTGTCCTTTATATTGATCTCCTTTATAGGGTCTTTCTCAACGACGTGGCCAATTATATCTGCAACAATAAATAAATTAGCAAGTCAAAGGAAAACACATCAATATTTAATGATATAATCAATATAAAATTAGTAGAATAATATGAGTAGTTACATACCAAACAGTAAGCTCTCATCCACGTTTTGTTTGATTGTGTCAAACGTAGCAAACTGAAAATGAGTTGATGGAATCCTATCGGTTGATGTTTCGATAACTTTTGTGCATCCCATAAAATTTAGTCTAAACTTATGTGTTGTTGCTCTGAAGCCACCATTGGAATCAACCACAAAGAAATTTTGGAAAATATAGCTGCTGCCTTCTTTTATCAAGTCTTTATACCTGCGAATGAGCATTTTTTTTATGCTAGCATGAATCCGCACACCCTGAGATAAATGTCAAAAGGATAATTATGTTTTGAATACTCGAAACATAAATATATAAAAAAATACACATAATAAAAACTATAAAAGCACAATCACCTCCTCGTCAATAAAAACCATTTCGATGCCAGCATTCTCTTTCGGATTCCACTTATCTGGTACGAACCACAGACGTATGACCCGAACCAATATTTTCCAATCAGTCTTTTTGCCCGAAACAATTTCGCGAATGAAGGACGTGCTCGTAACCATGTTTGCTATTTCTGATAAAGAACACAAAAAAATATTACAAAAAAGAATTAAATTATTATAAAGAACAAAAAAAATATAAAACGGGGAATTAACTTGTGATAAAGAACACAAAAAAATATTAAAAAAATCCATTGTTTAAATAAAAATCCACTTCTCAATTTTAATACACTGTTGAAATCAAAAATCAAGATTTCAATAAGTACAATTCCATTTCCAACGGAAAAAAATTGTAACTATTTCAGAGTCAGATGGATCGGAGAAGGCGAGAACGACCTTGCCATCACAAATGCTTAAAGAGTACTTCATTTTTCCTTGCAATACATCTTGAAAAAACAAATAATATTTTATGCTTGATTTATGAACAATGAAAATCTACACTATGAAAATTCCAATCATTGTCTGAAACAAAAAAAAATATATATTTTAGTCGGAAAACTTTGTTGTTATGCGACTATCGAATACAGAAGGGAAAAAAAACATTGCGGAATTGAACGAAATTAAAAATTGATTATTCTAATACGAAACAAAACAGCTCGATTGTTCTCCTATCTACATTCTGATGCATATTCTAATAACAAAACCGACCGATAGAAGAAATATAAATCAACAAACATCCATACAAATTAAACCCTTTCCAATCCTATAATTACTGTCAAATACATAGGAAGTTGAGAATAAGTGGGAAGTGGGAAGATTTCGTGAAACTTGCCTGTTGACTAATGGAGTTTATTTTTGCAAAGAGAAGATACCCAGAGAGAAGTGGGAAAAGGATATAAATAGGTGTTTTTGGGGAGAAAAATATAAGAAAAGAAGTAGGAGAGGGAGGTAGGATTTTAGAGAGATGTAGATTTGGGGTAGAAATCTGGAGAAAGAGAAGTTGACTTGAAGAAGGATACATAGATTCGGTGTGAAGAAAAGATGTGGATAATTCGGAGTATGAAGAGCCGTGAAGATGAAGTGGTGTGGGTGGAGGACAAATCGCCGTGGGATTAGTCGTGAGTGGCTGGATTTGCGCAGATTTTCGCGGGGTTGGTTGAGGTTGGCCGGATCCGGTGGTGGTGGTCGAATAAGAATGGTGGGTTAGATGCTAGATTTGTAAAGAAGAAGAGAAAAATTTAAAGGAAAAAAAAAAGAAAATAATCGTGAAGGAGATGAAGTGGGAAGGAGAGAGATGAAAAGTGGGGTCAGATAAAATGATAAAATGAAAATAATAAAATAATAAAAGATATGTAGATTTGGTGTGGGAAAAAAATCTGGATAATTCCTTTAAAAAATGTAATTAGTTTAGAATTAAAATATCATTAAAATTAGTTTAAATGAAGATTGAAATAAAAAAAATTAAATGAAAATTGAAATAATCTTATTAATAAAATCAAAATAATATAATAATAAAAGATACGTTAGATTTGGTGTGGGAAAAAATCTGGATAATTCCTTGAAAAAACGTAATTAGTTTAGACTTAAAATATCATTAATATTAGTTTAAATGAAAATTGAAATAAAAAAATAATAAAATAAATAAATGGTATTAAAGAATTCATCACACAATAATATATCGTTAAAATATAAGTAATTAGTTTAAATGAAAATGGATAATTCCTTGAAAAAACGTAATTAGTATAGAATTAAAATATCATTAAAATTAGATTAAATGAAAATTGAAATAAAAAAATAATAAATTCATCACACAATAATATATCACTAAAAGATAATGTTTAAATGAAAATAGAAATAATAAAATAATAAAATTGAAATTAATATTTAATTATGTGTTTAATTATTAGATTATACGGAAAATTAATTTAGAATTATACCTATATTTAGGAGATTAGATAAAGAATTAGTAGAAATTAATATCTAATTACGTGTTTAATTATTAGATTATACGAAATTTAATAATATGAAAAAAAAATGGATTAGAAAATTAAATATAATTCCGTTATAAGATATATCCTCCAAATGAGCGGGAAAAATTGACCTTACGGTTTTCTAGGGTTTCTCTGGGAACCTTTCTTTTGTTAAAGAAATCTGGAGAAAGAGAAGTTGCCTTGAAGAAGGATACGTAGATTCGGTGTGAAGAAAATATGTGGATAACTCGGAGTATGAAGAGCCGTGACGATGAAGTGGTGTGGGTGGAGGACAAATCGCCGTGGGATTAGTCGTGAGTGGCTGGATTTGCGCAGATTTTCGCGGGGTTGGTTGAGGTTGGCCGGATCCGGTGGTGGTGGTCGAATAAGAATGGTGGGTTAGATGCTAGATTTATAAAGAAGAAGAGAAAAATTTAAAGGAAAAAAAAAAAGAATCGTGAAGGAGATGAAGTGGGAAGGAGAGAGATGAAAAGTGGGGTCAGATAAAATGATAAAATGAAAATAATAAAATAATAAAAGATATGTAGTTTTGGTGTGGGAAAAAAATCTGGATAATTCCTTTAAAAAATGTAATTAGTTTACAATTAAAATACTATTAAAATTAGTTTAAATGAAGATTGAAATAAAAAAATTAAATGAAAATTGAAATAATCTTATTAATAAAATGAAAATAATATAATAATAAAAGATACGTTAGATTTGGTGTGGGGAAAAAATCTGGATAATTCCTTGAAAAAACGTAATTAGTTTAGACTTAAAATATCATTAAGATTAGTTTAAATGAAAATTGAAATAAAAAAATAATAAAATAAATAAAAGGTATAAAAGAATTCATCACACAATAATATATCATTAAAAGATACGTAATTAGTTTAAATGAAAATGGATAATTCCTTGAAAAAACGTAATAAGTTTATAATTAAAATATCATTAAAATTAGTTTAAATGAAAATTGAAATAAAAAAATAATAAATTCATCACACAATAATATATCATTAAAAGATAATGTTTAAATGAAAATAGAAATAATAAAATAATAAAATTGAAATTAATATTTAATTATGTGTTTAATTATTAGATTATACGGAAAATTAATTTAGAATTATGCCTATATTTAGGAGATTGGTTAAATAATTAGTAGAAATTAATATTTAATTACGTGTTTAATTATTATATTATACGAAATTTAATAATATGAAAAATAAATGGATTAGAAGATTAAATTTAATTCCATTATAAGATATATCCTCCAAATGAGCGGGAAAAATTGACCTTAGGGTTTTCTAGGGTTTCTCTAGAAACATTTCTTTTGTTAATAAGATAATAAAATAATAAAATTGAAATTAATATTTAATTATGTGTTTAATTATTAGATCATACGGAAAATTAATTTAGAATTATGCTTATATTTAGGAGATTAGTTAAAGAATTAGTAGAAATTAATATTTAATTACGTGTTTAATTATTAGATTATACGAAATTTAATAATATGAAAAAAAAATGGATTAGAAAATTAAATTTAATTCCATTATAAGATATATCCTCCAAATGAGCGGTTGACCTTAGGGTTTTCTAGGGTTTGTCTAGGAACCTTTCTTTTGTTAAAGAAATCTTGAGAAAGAGAAGTTGACTTGAAGAAGGATATATAGATTCGGTGTGAAGAAAAGATGTGGATAACTCGGAGTATGAAGAGCCGTGCAGATGAAGTGGTGTGGGTGGAGGACAAATCGCCGTGGGATTAGTCGTGAGTGGCTGGATTTGCGCAGATTTTCGCGGGGTTGGTTGAGGTTGGTCGGATCCGGTGGTGGTGGTCGAATAAGAATGGTGGGTTAGATGCTTGATTTGTAAAGAAGAGAAAAATTTAAAGGAAAACAAAAAAGAAAAGAATCGTGAAGGAGATGAAGTGGGAAGGAGAGAGATGAAAAGTGGGGTCACATAAAATGATAAAATGAAAATAATAAAATAATAAAATAATAAAAGATATGTAGATTTGCGGTGGGAAAAAAATCTGGATAATTCCTTTAAAACATGTAATTAGTTTAGAATTAAAATATCATTAAAATTAATTTAAATGAAGATTGAAATAAAAAAATTAAATGAAAATTGAAATAATCTTATTAATAAAATGAAAATAATATAATAATAAAAGGTACGTTAGATTTGGTGTGGGAAAAAAAATCTGGATAATTCCTTGAAAAAACGTAATTAGTTTAGACTTAAAATATCATTAATATTAGTTTACATGAAAATTGAAATAAAAAAATATTAAAATAAATAAATGGTATAAAAGAATTCATCACACAATAATATATCATTAAAAGATACGTAATTAGTTTAAATGAAAATTGATAATTCCTTGAAAAAACGTAATTAGTTTAGAATTAAAATATCATAAAAATTAGTTTAAATGAAAATTGAAATAAAAAAATAAAAAATTCATCACACAATAATATATCATTAAAAGATCATGTTTAAATGAAAATAGAAATAATAAAATAATAAAATTAAAATTAATATTTAATTATGTGTTTAATTATTAGATTATACGGAAAATTAATTTAGAATTATGCCTATATTTAGGAGATTAGTTAAAGAATTAGTAGAAATTAATATTTAATTACGTGTTTAATTATTAGATTATATGAAATTTAATAATATGAAAAAAAATGTATTTGAAAATTAAATTTAATTCCATTATAAGATATATCCTCCAAATGAGCGGGAAAAATTGACCTTAGGGTTTTCTAGGGTTTCTCTAGGAATCTTTCTTTTGTTAATAAGATATAAAATAATAAAATTGAAATTAATATTTAATTATGTGTTTAATTATTAGATTATACGGAAAATTAATTTAGAATTATGCCTATATTTAGGAGATTACTTAAAGAATTAGTAGAAATTAATATTTAATTACGTGTTTCATTATTAGATTATACGAAATTTAATAATATGAAGAAAAAAAAAAGGATTAGAAAATTAAATTTAATTCCATTATAAGATATATCCTCCAAATGAGCGGGAAAAATTGACCTTAGGGTTTTCTAGGGTTTCTCTAGGAACCTTTCTTTTGTTAATAAGAAGATAGGGCAAATGGCAAAAAAGGACATGTCAAATGACTTAAATGCAGATTGG